ATATATATATGTATAGTTTCATAAATTTCAATGTATTCTGTATTCGTCACATTTAAATTCAAAATAAAATCTTACTTAAGGTAAAATAATGATATTACATGTTTAATCTTATTATGTATTTTTGTTCTTTTATAATTTAATTACAGTATTAATCTTCACTAATCTTCATTTACAAATTCGAACATAAAATCGTACTCAAAGTAAAAAAAATTATAATTATTATAACCAAATCAAATTGTAATCAAAGGCCTACAAATTGATGACCATTTATCCTGGAACAACCATATGTTCTTAATATGAATAAATCTGTGGGTTACAAGATTACAACACTGGGGAAATTGAGCCAGTTTCTTTCTAAACATCTAATTGAGATATATTGTGTAAAAGTACTATGGAACCTTGTATTGACTATGGAATTTCAATTTGGAGAATGCTTCATTATATTATAATTGATAATTGGCGTGCTGCCAAAATTGTTTCCAAAAAATTTTGATTTTATAAACCACAGAGGTGGGGATCTCATTATTGACCTCAGATGGCTAACTTTTGAACAAAGGTGTGACTATTCCTTATCATGTATGATGTATAAATGTATTCATGGTCTAGCTCCGCAGCATCTAGTAAACCAAGTTGAATTAATTATTGATAGACATAATTATACCACTAGATTGGCTAAACCCCTTATTGTTGTTTTACCAAAAATCAATATAAATAAGATGAACATGTCCCTTCAAGTGGCTGGTGGTAAAGTTTGGAACAACCTCCTAGATCTGTTGCCACATGCTGCCTCTTACAACACTTCCAAATTTAAATACAAGGCAAAAATTTCATTATGTATAGTTCTTACATAAATTTCAATGTATTCTGTATTCGTCACATTTAAATTCAAAATAAAATCGTACTTAAGGTAAAATAATGATATTACATGTTTAATCTTATTATGTATTTTTGTTCTTTTATTAATTAATTACAGTATTAATCTTCACTAATCTTCATTCATAAAATCGTACTCAAAGTAAAAAAAAATGATAATTATTATAACCAAATCAAATTGTATATTTGTCCTTTTATAAATTAAAACATATACTGTATATACTTCATAATAAAATTTAAAATTAACCATACTTTTCGTAAAATAATTATATTTTTCTGTGTAATTTCAAATTCAATTATAATGTATTCTTAATTTGTTTAAATTCATTCAAATATTGTAAAAAAAATCCAAAAATATTTCTTGTTATTTGTAATTGCTTTATATTTAATTCATGGACCATTTGTTAGAACATATTTTTTTATTTGAAAATGTAATCCATGTAAAATATGTTTCTAAATAAATAAATGGTCCCGGTCTCATCATTTCCATTATCAAAAGTATTACTGTAGTCAACGTGAGGTTTAATGTAGGAGGGGGCAGGTCCTTGTGTATTGAGTCACCATTCTCCTCCTCATGAAGACATGTGGGATTTTTCATGCCACTCAGGATAGGACTAGACAGTTTATAGCGTCGATCATTTTCCTCGTAAGCTGATGTACTTTTGAGAAAAAAAAAGTTACGTTATTTAGAAATTACATTTTTTGTGAAGTACAGTATTCCAATTAGGCATATGAGAGTAAAATAAAGATGCAGAGTAATATTTTGTCTATATGTATCATTCCCATCGGGAGCAACTATGAAAGCTACTTTTTTAATGTGGAAAATGTAATTAATTACAGTATAGAATTTTTAATAAGGCACAATTCATTAAAAAAATAATTTTAAAAGAAATTGTTGATTATTAAACAAATACGTCAATCACACATTGAGTAAAACGTTATTGATTTTGTTCACATGTTAAAATCAACCCAGATAACATTTTAAGTTATAATAATGTTTATAGTTTGGTGTACAAAATGTTTTGTTTTTAGAGAACCATATAAATACGTAATTTCACATGTTGCTGCAACAACGTTTTGTTAATGTCATTAAATGACAGCTAGACGATATTTCGTGAACATTATAATAACGTTGCAATTACTTTACAGTGATTTATCCATCGAATCCGTTAGAAATCGTCAACATTCCTTTTTCTGTCTTGCTGACAGGACAAGTAAATCAGGAGGGTGAACATAAACAGGAAGAAGGCGCCACCAACGGACAGACCAACTATCTCGTAAACCGTCAATTGGCAGTTTTCTCCAATGTACCATTTTGTGTCTGTGTTCTCGCATGAAGTTAACTCACAAGTTTCACCATGGTAAACCATATTGCCTGATGTTTTACATTCTAATCTTGTACATTGAGTGCCAAAGTAGTTAACTCTTTCATTCTCCAATTCGCTACAACTAAAAATCCATTTAAAGTTTAGTTAAACTAGTTGTTATAAAATTTGATCAAGCAGTACCGTACTCGCGCGAATAAGCGCTCGGGGAAATTGGAAAATTCTAGGGGAACTTCTGTTTTAAAAGAAGATAAACGAATGTTTTTAGTGAAGAAAAGGTAATCGTCGAGAGAGCATGGCTCATGACAAGAATGTTGGTGGTATTTACACAACAGCAGATGAAATTTAGTGGTGGCGTTGGTGGTGGTGGTGGTAAGCGTCGGCCATCTGCTGCCAATTTAGATTAGCAGGATCATTGCAGGGTTTCTTGCTTAAATACGAGAGTGATGAGGACAGTTTATTTTTGTTGACTGAAAATGGCCATACAGTATTTTGATTTTTAGATATAAAATACTTAAAGTTCTAAATCCAAAAGGGGTAGCAATAAAACAAGAACGGAATCGAAACAGTGCATCAAAACTGAGACTGATGATAGACCGACAGATTGACCGACGGACAATGCTAAGATAGATGCGCATAGTTGATGCAGAAAATTAAGTTGGTAATGTACTGTACTGTATTGTATGATTGAATTTTTTTTAGGAATTAAAACGGGGCGCTTAAACAATTTTCACGAGGGGCGCGAGTACGGTACATTCAAGTTTAGTATTTAATAATATTATTATAACAGGTGTACATACAGTGTGATTTATATATAGGCCTATAATTATTCAGCATCATAAGCACAATGATAAGTTTTACTATATAAGATTGTCACTCTCGGCCATCTAGACTGTACATAGGTCTACTATTTCCTCAGGTTTGAACTCACGACTGTCCCCCATCTTTTAAAACAATATGCGCACTTGCCACTGAGGAAGGACTATTGTCCGAAAAGTCTGGTTTTTAATGCAAGCGTTCGCCTACGTAGCCTACATCACGCGCACAGGAAACATTGAATGATACGCGCTAGAAAGCAAGAATTAATCTGTTCTGTTAGGTGCTGTTTTTGGCTCTCACAAATTCATATATCTGCTGAACTTCATATATACCTCCATTATCTTCCTATTTACTCACACCTGATTGCTACATGAAACAACTGAGGAAGGACTATTGTCCGAAAGGTCTGGTAATTATTATATAATATATAACATGTCTCTTATACACATCTAGATGTGTATAAGAGACAGAAGATAAATAGATTAAAAGGCAAACCACTGACAACTGAGTGCTACATGAAACAAATCGACGACCAAATAAGCAAAATTTGCAATGTGAACACTACCAGAGTTATTACATAACTGAAATTGCTTTTTTCATACTTACTTGCAGGATATTTCATCACCAATTGCATCGCAAGATCCACCATTACACCAATTAAATTCAACCTCGCACTTCGATGCACATTCTGGTTCATGTTTGTCATTACATCTAAATGTAAATGAACTTTCGCAGGGATAATAGTACTTCTCATTGCAAAAATCTAAGAAAGAACATAACATTAATTGGTGTTGGAAAAAATATACCAATCATCATTCTCATCATCATCATCATCATTACAAACATTGCCATTTTCACCACTATTATTACTACTATTAGGGTCTATTAATATTATCATTATTAAAGGAAAATGGATAGCCCATGATAACAAAAGAAACTGGGATGGGGACTGAGAAAGAATAACATAGACTTGAGAAAGTGACTAATATTTTTTTTACATTCTCCAAGTGCCATTTCCGGTGTATTTTAAAAGTTGGGCGGTACATATCCACTGTCGAGGAGATTGTATTCTCACCTGGGAATCTGGACGGCAAACATCTGAAAGTGCCATAACTAAACACAAAATTTAGTGGCTAATGACCAAATCACGCAATTCGTACTATGTTTTGTGTGAATAATACAGTGTATAGTGAAATGCCAAAAAAAAAAAAGATTTCTTTATTTGAATTCAGATGCTTTTTATTTATTTTTATTTGGGTAATATATACAGTTAACACATACTGAATACAATATAATTCTGGTTTTTTTTTCCATTTGCTTGGTATTCAATTTACAATAAATCATTAATACTTAGTATGTTTCCAATCTTTTCTGTGTTGGGGTGTGTGGTTGAAGATGTGTGTGTTGACATGGTATGGGTGTAATTGTTTAAAAAAAAAACCGATATGGCATTAAAAAAAAATACTAAGCTTAAATACGTAATCTGTGGGTATAGTTGAATACCAAAAGTGTTGGCCTACCGGTATCAATGTCAACTGAACTGTCATCATATGTGAATTTTCCATATATAGCATTGTTTCCAAATACTCCTTTAATGAATTGATCGTTGGTTATGCTCTGATTGAATTCCGTATACTTATACTCCACAAAATGGTGGACGATGAGTTGTTTATTATCTGTTATATGTACTTTAAGCCATGTATCATCCAAGCTGAATAGAAATAGCCATAATCTTACTCAAATAAAATAAATTAATACTTGTATTATATGCTGAGGTTAAGTTGCATACAGTTATATGTTGCTAGGGCTCGGGATATTACATATAAAAATAGTCCATTTTATTGTAGACTATTGTAGTTTTTAAAAAGTGTAGTCAAATGCTGCCTGTACCAGATTGGTACTTTTGGCTTTCTTATACTGTACACAAAACAGTTTTAGTATGCAATCTGCTTTAATTCTCGGAGCAGTGCAATGCATATTCTGGGTCTTTTTTTTTTTTTTTTCTTTTTTTTTTTGGCTGCTGCTAGCTGTCCAAGCCCCAAATGAGCTTATTTTAATATTATAAAAAGTAAATGTCCTATTATTATCATACCAAGTAAATGGCAATTATAAATGTATGGATAAAACAAGAACATATATATACAATTAAGTCTATATGTTGTGATTAGGTATCGACTGCAAACTTCATTTGTAAACTAACCTTGAGATATTCGTGACGATCAACCCATGATATGCATCGAGATCAAAGTTATAGTATGCCTGACCAAACTGTTAAGAATTGTAGATAAATGAAAAACAATTGCTGTACTTTAATATACTTTATATCAGGTTTCCTTATTAATTACGTATACATGTTTATTTAAAAATGAAGTTTGGAGCATTGGTGCTTTACAACCAGATATGCTGATATGATATTAAGTTTGTAAAGTAATCGTGGTGTTAGACTCATAGCAAAATTATGTTTCCTTAAAACTGATTTATGGAGCAGGCCTACTTATATTGTCATTAATTACAATAATGTACAGATCCTAGTTATCTACCTGGCTTATAACTGAAGATTAAAATTGTTTAATTCTTTCATTATTGAATAATTTGTTGACATTTTTTGTTATTATTTTTGTGTTCTTATTTTTATTGTGAATCATTTTGCAATAAATTGCCTACCGTAATTTATCTATGCAGTTGTCTTTATTTCTTATAATACTAGTATCTAAGTACTGAATTCATGATGAATTGCAAAATTGTCTATCTTTACCTCTTCTTCAAATTCTTTAATAAGATCAGGACAGTTGGCTAGTGAAGGATCACTAGCACATCCTTCTTTGACGTCTGAAGCAGTCACATGCATGTCCACATCTACAACTGTCAGCACTGCATATAAAATTAATTGAGAACAGTTAAATATGGTTATATTTTTGTTTTGATTCTGAATCTTTCATTATGTTTTTGTTTTGACAGTTATCACAAATTATTCTTTGAAGCGGCTGACTCTAGAAATGTGTTCAAAGAACATTCATCAATGATGTTTACAGGAATATTGTACAACTATACAAAAATGCATAAACTAAAAGTCAATTTTGTGGGAAAAATCTTTATCGTAGGCTATACATAACATCTTTTTCCTATTTGAGCACTGATATCATTTATTTAATTTGAATATTATATATTACCTTCTTTTGGAAGTGCCTCTTGGCGTGGTAATGAGGTTGTTGTAAACATCTTTGGAGTTGACACTGTTTTCTCATTGTTTGTAACCACACCCACAGTAGAAACATCTTTGAATGACGGTATAGTACAAACATAAAGGAAACTAGTTAATAATACAAAAAATCCATAAGACGATCATCGCTGACGAGTCCAAATGATTTTCAGAATGGAAACTTCCTTTTGTAAACCTATGGTGTGTGTTGTTATTAATATTATTCATACTTTATATTCTTTCATCAGCGAAGTGGACCACAATATACCTATCCTATTAATAAATTTTACTAAATTTAGACCTACATTTATTATGATTATTATTATCGCTATCACCATTATCGTCGCCATAGTCATCATCATTAACAACATCATTATTATTAAAATAAATGACTTGTTCAATCATGTACTGTATACTGTATTTGACAACTGCAGTTTCATAGTAGGTATATGCAATCATCGGGTCAAAGGAAGAGTGATTTATAGGAGCGATATAAGCATTCTGAAGTTTACAGGTAAATGAGAGGTGTTTCGATGCAGAGTAATCGGAGTGGATTCGAATAGGTAATGGTTACGAAGTCCAACCCTGGGTTCAATTCCCTTGACAGTAAGAATTTTCCTCACAACTAAAAAACAACTCCACTCCCTAAGCCTCATAAAAAGACTTCGCTGATAAAAGCATCATGTTATTAAATTTTTTTTTAAATAAAATATTAGGCGACCTTCTAGGATACACTAAAAGGATCGCCCTCTCTATAAAATAATGGTTAAAAATTTCAAGTATATTACAAGTAATAGTTTGCCATCCGAAAACCAGCATCAGTAATTCAAATTTACTTTTTAATATTCTTATTCTCCAAATTATAAGATTTAAAATGATGAGTCATTTACTGGAATCGACTTGCTATTGCAAAAGTTATGAGAAAAAGTATTATTGCTTCTCTGTACGAAAGTGCTGTATATGATACTGCCACATTCTTCTGCTAATTACTCAGGCGACAGTACGCTGCTTTTTCGAATGGCAAGCCTCATATCCTTTTATTGCTTCGGTGACACAGGTACAAATTAACTTGGATCATTTGTTAAGTGTTGTGTTGGGATCGATGTTATTATGCCACAATGTTTTCATTATTATTATTATTTTCATTATTATTATTATTATTATTATT